GAGCGTGAGTGTGTGTGGGGTGGGGTGGGGGTCTGCATGCATGCATGCATGCGTGCATGCATGTTCGAACAGGCGCCGCGCATGCGGGAAGTGAATGGGCATGCGTGCATGCATGACCATGCACGCAGCCATGACGAGCGGCACAGGCTTCTGCACCCTAGGTTGACAAGCCAACATGTGATGCACACATTGCTGCCCGCGCACAGGGCCCACACGTTGTCCAGCAGTGCTCCAATCCACCAGAACACAGCTACTGCGGCACGGGCCCTCATGCATCCCTCCCGTCCCTGCCCCTCCCTCCTCATCCGCCAAATTGCGCTATGCCCTCACCGGTCGCTCCAGCATGCGCGGCGCTGTGGGGCTGAGCACCAGCTCGTCATCGATCACCGACGACCCCACGCGCCGCCGCTTGAGCGACATCGACCCCTCCCGCGCCAGCCGCCCGCCGCCGCCGCCGCCGCCGCCACCGCTTGCGCCGGCGCCGCCACCGAAAGTGCCAAACTGCTCGAGGCCCCGCTTGCCAGCCAGCTTGGCCATCGCGTAAGGCCCGAGGCGCACGCCGTTTGGCGCCGCGCTGACCTCAATGCCAAACGCCGCTGCGAGGCGCAGCCGCATGTCTGCCAGCTGCTTCTCGACGACCTCCAGAGAGCCAAACACGGCTGCGGGCTCGGCCTCAAACGCGGCGGGGTCGAAGCCGGGTGGGGCGGGCGCGGGCGGCGCGCCTGCAGCCTGCGCCGCGGAGCGGGCCGCTGGCTGCTGCTGCTGCTGCTGTTGTTGTTGCTGCTGCTGCGGTGTTTGCTGCTGCTGCTGCTGCTGCTGCTGCTGTTGCGGCGGTGGCGGCTGCTGCGGCTGCTGCGGCTGCTGCTGCGCTTGACGCAAGTCGGACTTGTCGGTTCCGTCCGCCGCTGCCTCCCCTGCGACCCCGCCACCGTCGCTGGAAGGCTGCTCCTGCTTGTCCGTGCCTTCCCGCTGCTGCACCTGTCCGAGCTTGTTGTCGGCTGTCTGCGGCCGTGCGGCCGGCTGCAAAGCAAGCGACTCTGCTATGCTGGGCGGTGAGGCGTGCATGGCAAAGAACGGGCTGGCAAGGAGCGCAGGTGTTGTCAGCGCCGCCACGTGCTGTGGAAGCAGCATGCCACCGCGCTGTGCCAGGGCCATGGGGGCCTGGACGTCTGCGCCCGAGCTGCCATTAGCCCCAGTGCCGCCCCCACTGCCTGCACCCCCGGCCCCAGCACCACCGCTGCTGCTGCCCATGCCCGCGCCCGTGCACCCAGTGCCGCCAGCGGCGGCTGCAGCGGCAGCAGCCGCAGCAGCAACAGCGGCAGCACCACTGCGGCTGGCTTGGCAGGGTGCGGCCTTGAGCTGCGTTATGAGGTTTCCCAACTCCAGCAGCCGCAGCTCGAGCCATCTGGCGCGCCACTCAACCGGCCGCCTCACTGCCTTCCACTCGGCCGTGCGGCCGCTTGCCGGCAGCTTTCGCTGCCGAGTGCTGGGGCCTGCTTCCCCACCGTCCCGAGTTGCGCCCTGCTGCTGGTTCCCATTCCCCTCCTGCTGCTGCTGCTGCTGCTGCTGTTGTGCTGAACCTTGCGGCTGCCCAGGTTCCTGCGGCTGCTGCTGTTGCGGCTGCTGCTGTTGCGGCTGCTGCTGTTGCTGCTGTTGCTGCTGCTGCTGCTGCTGTTGCTGCTGCTGCTGCTGCTGCAATTGCTGCCGCTGTTGCTGCTGCTGCTGCTGCTGCTGACCCGCTTCCTGGACCGACTGCTGTTGCGCACGCGCGTCTGTCGACCGCGCAACAGATGGGGCCACCGCCGCAGCCGCTGCTGCCGCCGCCGGTCCCGTGGCAAGCGCATATGGCAGATGCAGCGCCGAAAGGCGCGCTTGCTGCATTACACTGTCCATGCTTGGGTCTGGGGCTTCTCTGAACAGCAGGCCCCAGTCGTTGCTGCCGGGGAGCCGCTCCTCAGGCTCCCACAGCCGCGCCGCCGCAGCAGCATCCTCGTCCGGCGGCGCCGGCATGGCCGCGACGTCCTCCTCTGCACCGCCATTGCCGCCGCCCGCCGCGCGCCCGTCCACGACGCCGGCCTCGCCGTCCTCGCTGCGCGCCGCGCCGCCGTCGAGCGACGTCGTGGCACCGATCAGGACGCCGCTGCTGCGCGCCGGGTCGCCGGCGTCCTTCAGGATCTGCGCCTCCTCCTCTGCCGCCGCGGTGCGCGGGCCCTGGGGGTGCAGCTCGTACAGGGCACGCCGCCCCGCCAGCTCCTCTGCCTGCAAAAGCTTGCGGCCCGCGCGCTGCAGCTGGCCAGCAAGCTTCCACACCTGGCTGTTTGGCGAGTTGAACGTCTTGGCGTTGGTGCAGATGAGCTCAAAGTCGGAGGTGAAGGACCGCCACGTACGGTACTCGCGGGCGCGCAGCTTGTTCTCCATGACGCGGAACGACATGGGGTGCTTGATCTTCTCCGCATAGCCGACGACGCCCACGACAGGCTCCCAAAACACGCGCGGGGGGTCCAGGCCGCGCAGCCTGCGGCAAGCGCAAGGCATGTGACAGCAGCGATGCAGCGCTTCTGACGCAGTCGCTGGCTGCGGCCAGCGCGGGATTCGGCTGCGGGGAACGCACACATTCCGGCCTGTCAGGCACGCTGGGTGTTGTGCGGCACAGCGGGCCGGCGCAGCGGCACAGCACGCCCCAGGGCTCGCCCTGTTGGCGCGAGCCGCACCTGTTTATGATCCCCAACACGACGTCCAGGCCATGCCGCGCGGCCTCAGAGAGCTGGCCCGCGGGCTCTCCCTCCACCATGTTCGCTGGTCGTGGTGGCGTGGCCAAATCGCTTGCTGGCATTTTTCCGCTGCATTGCTAGCTTGAGGTCCGCATGGCGGACCTGCACACCTGACCTCGCCAAGTGTGTGCGGCCAAAGGGGCCGCTGGAGAGCTATCCGCCACAAGCTGTGCCTTCCCCAGGTGCTTGGAACTTGCCCGAGCGGCAGAGCCACCGTGGCTTGCGAGGCCGGTCGTCCGCCAACACTTGAAAACGGTTTGAAAGCGCTTGAAACGTCTCCCGTGTTTGCACAAAATTCACAAAAGCTTTTACATTGATGAACGCTGACCCCCGTTTGTTGCAGCCGTGATCACCAGGGGCGCCAACGAAGGATCTGGCTAGCAAAGCTTAGCCCCTAATCCCGGTCCTGACAGCTGCGTTGGTGGCTTGATTGTCGCTGGGGCTGGGGGCGGTTCCAGCCCTGCCCTGCCGCAGCGCCCTTGCCGCCGCCCGCCGCATCGACGTCCGCCCCAGTTTGCTGCTGCTTCTGCTGCTGCTCCTCCTCCTCCACCTGCTCCAGCACCTGGTTGATGATTTTAGTGACCTCGGTCGTGAACTCCCGCAGCGGTGCTGGGTTCTTGTCTGGATGCCACCTGATGGACCAGTTTGCGGAGGGCGGGTGGGCAAGCTGCTCGGGCAACACCGGGCAACACCGATGACAAGCTGCGTTGCGGCAATACAATAGGGGACAAGCTGCGTTGCGGCAATACAGAAGGGTTATGGCAGCAACGGCTGGGGAATCAGCAGTGGTAATATTGAGATGCGCCCCTGTGGCGTGCAGCGCACGCGCATGCTGGCAGCGAGTGCAGAGTGGGACAGTTCGCACCGCAGCTGCAGAGCCCTGATGCGCCGCCTGCGCTCGTCAGGTTCGCAGCCTGCTGCCTCCCTCATCTCGGCTGTGATGGCGGCCTGCACAGATGCCACGCTGAAAGCACCTGTAGTGAAATGGAAACCATCACATGAGGGGCAACAATTGGATTCTAGAGGGGCTGATGTGCTGGTCAATCAAGCTCCAGCTTGGTCGCCACCAGACTGCCTAGAGCTGTGCGCTACCACCAAGTGCACAAGCCTGGCAACCGCTCCGGCGGTTTGTCGTTGCCTTGCATCTCTCAACTTGCTGTGCGTGGCAACCGCGGGACCCCGGCTTACCCGAGCTTTTTGACTGATCTTGGGCCGCTGCAGCAGCTCGTGCGCTCGCCGCCGCGCTCTCGCTGCGGACCTCCAGTTCCAGCAGTCGCCTGCGCAGCTGCCGGACGTAGAGCGCGCTATCCGCCAGCGTGGCCTGCAGGGTTGTGTCAGGAACATGTCAGGAACATAGCCGCACCTAGTTGGGAACCAGTGAGGCTGGGGCAATTCCTCACCAGCACGTGCCTCAGCTGGTGCAGCACCAGCTTCGTTTGCCAGTGGTGCTTGGCCGGCCCCACAATTTATTCATGCTGCAGATTATGATTCCTCCCACCCTTGTTTGTCTGCACCCCCATCAGAGCACCTGCATCGCATCAATATCTGCATAGGCACCCTGCAGCTCGCCCAATGCCTCGTCCCTGCCATTTGTGAGGTGCGTGCGCATATGCGTGTATGTGTAAGCAAGGGGCCATGTGTGCAGGCACACGCTCCGTTAGGCACCTTCACACATGGGTACGTGTGCACCTGCATTCAGCTCACGTGGTCGTGCGTAAAAAGCACCCTGGACTTGCGGACATCAGGTGTTGCATGGTCATGATTCGCGCGGGATGATTGCGAGGCCACATTCCTTACCGCTGCAAAAGCACGTCCCGCTGCGTTCGCTCAGCCCGCTCGCGCCGCCGCCGCTCCTCCCCTAGCGTGTTCGCCATGCGCTCCTGCGCGAAAGCTGCCTGCAGCTTCTCGGCCTCCAGCAACGCGCTCAACCGCGCAACCTAAAAGTTGGGAATGGCAGCGCAGTGTCGCTTCAAAGCCTTGGCCGCATTTGTAGGCTGTGCATAGCTGTACAGCCACAAGTGTATAGCTGGGCAGCTTTCACGCAAATGCGGAGCTCATCCAAGCCCACAACCATGCGTGCGCACTTGCACCGTCATACTCACAGTCAACATGTGCGAGCGCGCACGATCACACACACACGCGCACACACACACACACACAGAGCAGTATGATACAACGCCAGGCTGTTGAACAAACCTCATGCTGCAGCAGCTGCTCCCTGTCGCGGCTGGCTGCCTGCTGTTCCTGCAGCTCAAAGATTGCCTCCTGAGCCACCTCCATCCTGCAGGGGCATGGTGCGCACGTCCAGAGGACCCAACACCAATGCAATTGATCACTACGGCACCTTGTCAACCGGCACACACAAATTACATGGTTAGTATAAAGTACCTTTGCACCGCACAGTCGGGAACAGATCGGGCGAGGTGCGGGCTCACAATTCTTCTTGTTCAGTGCGCTGCGCCTCAGCCAGCGACAGCCGCTCAGCCAGCAGCTGCGAGCGCCGCTCCACATTTGAAAGGGCGGAAGCAAGCAGGTCGAAGCGCTCCTCCATGAGGTCGCCTGGCGGCTGCAGGCATGACCCTGCGCCTGCTGCACGCAAGGGTGGGATGTGATGCACAGTGCGTGGCTTTGGTTGCGCACAAAATCCGTTGGCAGGTGTGTGCATGTGCACATGCACACATCAGGCGCCCTCACACAGCTGCCGTGCTGCCGTAAGAGCTTCAGCATGTCTGGCCACATGCAAGAGCATGCTGGTCTACGGCTGCTTGTGCGTTGCGTTTGAAGGCGACTTGCTGCGCACCCTGACCCAGCGGCGGCGAAAGCGGTGGCGCTGCGCAGGCTGTCATCCCTGAAGCTGGAGTCAATCAATTTAACACTCTAGCAGGATTATGGAAGGACCTGAACGCTTATCGCTGCGGCTCGTTTGTGGAAGCGATGATTTTGAGTTTGAGAAACAGAGAAGCTCTATATGCGCGCTGTGAGGAGTCGATGTATACTTTGACAGTGAAGAATGTAAGGAACTTGACAGTGCAGTCGCTAAACTTTTTTCCGCCTAATCTCAGATCTGTCATAGACCAGAGGACAATGATGTACGCCACGTGGGCCTTCTTATGGTCCCTTGCCATCTATTTAGTATTTTTATTTATATCCATCACTGCCACAGCGTGCTGCACCGCAACGCCTTTGCATCGCTCGGCCCCCAGTCAACAACAAGTGTTGCAACGGTCAACAGAGGCCCTGTATCTATGACAATACATGCGCATGCAAGCCGTTCAAGCAACATACGGGAGGTTGCCACTGCTAGTGGCTTCAATGGTGCATGAGCAATCAGGGGCAGAGGAGCAGGCAGTGAGCAATGCAAAGAAATCCAGGCTGCAGTCGTATGACGACGACGCAAGCGCGCCTGTGTTGGTTGACACCTACTTGAAATTGCAGGCGTTGCAGGCTGCACTTGTCGTGGCGTGTGCTTCAGCTTTGAGCTTTTGCGTAGGTGCGGAGGACATCCAACTACTTTGCTGAGCAGCCCGGCCCGTTCCAGGGGCAGCGCTGCAAGCATTGTATGATGAACAAGTGCAGCTCACTTTCCAATACAGCCTGATGAGGTGTGTGGCCTCCTTCACACTGGCAATTTTGCATGTGGGTTGGCGCCCAATGCTGGGAGGTGGTTATTTCACCACGCTGAAGGCACGCCTGGGTAAATGATGCGTGCACTCGCCCAGCCCAAACGTCCAACTACTAAGGGAAGGCGGCCCCTCTTTGACTATAATGTTTTCGCCATACAGTAGTCAAGGGCTGCAGAACAATTCTCATAGCATGATCAAGTTCATGTTGATGGACGCCGCAACCCCCGTTTACCTTACTACCTGCCAGGGGCGAAGCAAATGCCTGGTCGGCTGCAGCTAGGATCGCTGTCAGCATCGCTGCAGGCATGAAGTGCTGTGCAGCTCCACCATACCCATACATGGCTCACTTCACATCACTGGGCCTTTCGGAGCTTTGACAGGCATGCTCTTCGCTTCTACGCTAGATCACCACTTGCAATGTGGTGTGTGTTTATGAATCATTGATCGTTTTTGAGTCCTATACAGGATACCCGTGCTCAGAATCGTTTGGCCCGCGTGGTCTTCATCCCTTCGTGGGCACCGCTTGACCAGACGTGCACTGCACCCAAACGAGCAAAGTCATATAGATCATGGATCCTAATGGTCCTTCAGAGACTGCGGAGGACACCACGGTAGCGGGCACCAGCGCCGCTGCGGATGCGCGACAGCTGCAGCAGATTGAGCCGCAGCCCGATCGCGATGCCGCTGCACTGGCAGCACTCTCGACGACGATGGGTCCCGACCACCCATTGCTGCAGCGTGCCCAGCGCGCGCTCAAGCAGCAGCTGGAAACAAAGCGCACGCAGCTGGATGGGGAGCTCAAGGAGAAGCGCAACGCGCTCAAGGTGGGGTCCGACAGCAGCATCAGGCGCATCCCCCCCCCAAAGGGCTCGTGCTTGCAGCATCTCTCAGCTGGGAAGCGCATGCCTTTGCTATCCCACGCCTTCTTGAAACCTTGCACTGTCAACGCTGCACGTTCCTGATCCCGTGGTGACCGCCGTGCCGGCACCGAGCGCAGCGGACGCAGCAGCAGCGCGAGGCGGTCGGCGTGGAGCTGTACGGCTACCAGCAGACGCTTGCCCGGCTGCAGCTGGCGCTGGAAAAGGCGCAGGACAGCTACACGGAGATCAACACCACACGGTGCGCTGCTGACAGCTATGTGTCATATATATGCATCGTGGGTCGCCGGGCGGGCCGCATGGTTTCTTGGGTAGGTGGGGGGGAAGGTCGCTGCGGCAAAGTCCAGCACCGGTTCACATTGTTGGCTCGTCAGGGGACATGCCAGGCTCATACAACGTTGAAACGTAGCGAATTTCTGAGCAGCGCGGACGCAGGTCAAGGCAGGCGGTTACTCAGCGCCGCGCACGCAACGCAGGCAGGAGGTGGAGGCTGAGCTGGCGGCGAAACGGGAGGAGCTGCAGGGGGGTGAGGCGGCCGCCAAGCAGGAGCGCGAGCAGGCGGAGCGCCACCAGCGAGAGCTGGACCGCCTGGGCGCAACCCTCAAGCAGGTGGAGGCCTACAACGAGCAGGTGAGGCGCGGTTGCTGATAGGTGGGGGATGCGGGGCGGCCTTGGGTGGGAGGGTGCAGGGGCGAGCGGACGGGGTAACTGGTGATGAGCCATCATGTGAGGGTGCGCCGTGTTCAGCCGAAGGCCCTTCTTGCCCGCTCAGCTGTCGTTGGAGAGAGAAAAGGGACCAGTTGAACCAAGTGCGCCGATGGCAAAGCTTGCATGCACGTGCCCATGCGCGACGTGCATGGCCTGCAATGTGCCCCGTGATGCACTCAGCACGGCTTGCACCCATGCGCACACGCACCCACCATACCCCGCCCCCAGGTCAAGGGTGACATCGCCGTCACAAAGCGCGCGGCGTACGCGGCAGAGGAGGCGGTGCAGCGGCTGGAGAAGGAGAAGCAGCGGCAGGATTTCCTGATCGAGGGCCTGCAGGTGGGCCAAGGGGTTGAGGACGCCGACACATGGAGGGGAAACAGGAAACAAGTAAACGTGCAGGGCGCGCCCGCTGCACATGAGAGGGGCACAGGATGCGGGATTGCACGGGTGGACGGCGGGAGCGTCGGCAGCAGTGGACGGCGCACGCGACGTGGGTAGAGCGTTCACACACAAGAAATAGTGAGCAGCTCGCAGCGTGTCATGAAGCAGGAGGCCTGCGCTCAACATGCCGCCCCGCGGCCTGCCTTGAAACCCCGCGTCCAAGCGCAGGGCACGCTGCGGTCGCTGCACCAGCAGCTGACGCTGCACGACACACAGCTGGAGGCGCAAAAGCGCGAGACGCGAGCTGCGCGCGAGACGCTTGCAGAGGTGCGGCGCCGGGCGGGCCAGGCGGGCCGGGCGGGCGGGCGGGGGGACCACCGAGCAGGCAAGGGAGCTGGTCGCCCGTCGCAGCACCAGGGCAGCCCCGCGGACATGCTTTTGCGCTGTACTGCAGCATGGGTCTGACTGCAACCCCAAATCGCACCAATCTCGTCAACAGGCCGAGTCGGATATGGAGGGGGTCCACTTTGAGAAGAAGCAGCTGCTTGCGCAGTGGAAGAGCAGCCTCACAGCCATCCAGAGGTGCGCCTTGAGCACATGTGGGCTGCGCCGCCCCTTCCGCCAACTCTTGCCCCCCTTTCCCTATGCTGGAAAATCCAGACAGCACCACCATATGCAGCAGCAGTCCACCGCGTGTGCCCTCGGCACTCCTTTGCTGCAGTGTACACGCATCCTTGGATTAGGATTAGGATTTCTACAAGATCCCGCGGTCGCCCGCTCCTGGAGCCATCCAGGCTCATGGGATATGACTTGGCACTCAAGCGCTGTCGCAAGCGCTTCCCCGGCCCCTGCCGCATGCAGGCGCGACGAGGCGCTCGCGGCGATCCAGGAGGCGATGCGCCAGCAGCAAGAGCAGGAGCTCGCCATAGCCACTGAGATGGCTGGGTTCAAAAAGGACATCGCGAAGCAGCAGGTGGGCCGGGGGCACCGCTTGGTACGAGCATCAACTCAGCATGTCGGAAGGCCGTCGCACGTGGTTGGAGGAGCGCGAGATGGCGGGCGACAGGACGGCACCTCGTGATCAAATGTCCCATATGTGCGTGCGGCGGCGCTCTCTTGAAAGCTGCCAATCTTGTGAATTTCAAAACTGCGGCGGCCGCAGATTGCAAACGAGCAGCTGAGCTCGGTGGCACGGAAGGTGGAGGGTGAGGCTGACATGGTGTCGCGGCAGGTGAGCGGCCGCGACCAATGGTGTGTTCTGCAAACCCTAGGGTGGCGGGGGTGGCGAGAGACAGCTGCAGGGTGGTGAGAAGCCCGACAGAGTGAAATCGCACACCTGCATATCAGCCACTGTATTCCGTGCTGCCGGAGCAGCAGGGCTGGCCCTGTCAAAGCCAGTTGGCTGACTTGTCGGGCTGCCAAATGTTGCTCAGGACGCCGGTGACGTTTCAACCCTGGACCCGCAATTCTTCAGGTCTCTGGCTTTGTTGAGCGCCAAGAGCGGCTGAGCGAAGAAATAGACAAGCTGGCCAGGAGCCTGGAGGAGACGGAGGAGCGGCTGAGGCGCTCAGGGCTGGAGGGCAAGGTGCGCGCAGCAACACGCCACGTGCTTCTGGGACAGCCGTGCGTGCGATTTCGGCGGACGCAGTGCACAAGTGCTGACAGCCAACACCTGGACTGGGGCTGCTTAATTATTTGGTCACGTGCATGACCAAGCAAGGCTAGTGGCATTGTGAAAGCACCTCCCAATGCTGTGTGGTCCGGCGCCCGCTGCGCACGCACGCGGGCGTGCTTGCCGCGCAGGCGCTGGCGCAGGAGGCAGGGTCTGTCGACCGCGCCGTGCAGCGCGCGCACCTGGACGCGCGCGCCCTGGAGGAGGAGGGCCTGAGGGCGCTCAGCGAGGCGACCACCGCCGAGAAGAGCAGCGCCAAGACGGCCGCCGACATCAAGGGTGAACAGGGTTTGGGGCGCGTGGTTGGGGATACCAGCCTGAGCTCGTGCGACATGGGAAACGGCATGATGATGCTGGAGCTTGCTCTAGGCAATGGGGTGCACGGCTGTTGTAGTGAACGCACCCTGGCGCATGTTGCCCCAAGAACACACCTGCCGCATCTCCTTGCCCCCCCTGTACGTCCCAAAGCAAGGCTCCTCTAGCCCCAACCAACAGCAAACCTTGCCTGCACTTTCCTTGCTGCCTTGACATCTTCCTCACAAACTGCACAGCGCTGCGAGAGGGGTGCGACAAGGAGGAGCTGCGGATAGCTGACGTCCAGAACGAGCTGGCCAAGCTGCAGGTGCGCGTGGTTGATGCTGCGGGGTGAGGGAGGCGCAGCCAGCAGACCTGATTGTTGACCATTTCCAGCTGCATGCGTGCCGTGCTTCAGCCTGCGTGTGAGCGCCCATGTCCCAGCAGCCTACGCAGGGGTTGGGCTATGAGCCCAACCTCACAGGATCAGCCCAGGGCTCTCCGAGTACCACGGCAGCCTGCTTCGGTGCTCCAGCCGAACACCTTTCATCCACGAGCGCGTACGTCGGTCCTTGGAGCTGCTGCAAGACCCCGCTTTGTCCACGCCGCATCCCCCTCCCCCACCATGCAAACAGGTGGACATGCTGAACACGGAGGCGCACAACGGCCGCCTGGGTGAGGCGCTGCAGCTGCTGGAGTCAGAGCTGAAGGACAAGGTTGGTGTACGGTTGTGGGGGGGGGGGAGGGGCGTGAGCAGGTGCTAGTTCTGTTGGAGCGAGGTGATGGTGGGTGCAGGAGAGCTGAGGAGCACCTCTAGGGCTGGTGTTGTCTCGATCCCCCCCTACTTGGGCCGTCCTCACTGCCGATGCCAGATTAGTAAAGCGCCATCGACGCTGCATGCCGTAAGAGATCATCTGATGGTACCGCTTTGCCACGCCGTGTTGCTGCTCCCTGTTCCGCGAGTCCCCACATCCCATGCTCACCGGGCGTCGTGCAACACTGCGCTTGCGACTCCCACGGCCGCACCCTGCAGGAGGCCGCTGTGGCGAAGTTTGAGCAGGAGATGAAGCGGCGCGCGGACGAGATCGAGCGCAAGACGCGCGAGATCGACACTCTGAACCGCAAGTACGAGAGGATGGTGGCCGCGCAGCCCGGTAAGACGTCGGCGTGGCGCAAGGCGAGATCGCTGCCTGCCTGACGGGGGCAAGGACTGGGCGGGCGGCAGGCCATGCAAATCAGGGGGGCTCGTTTGCTGGCATGAGCGCGAGAGCAGCTGCTTTTGGATCTTCTTGATGAAGCCAGAGCTTGCGCATTTGGAAGGATCGGAAAGGTGTGAGTCACTGCACACAAGGCACGTGCCCTCTTACACACACATGTGCGCAGAGGCGGTCAACACGGGCCCGCTGGAGGCCACCATCACGTCTTTGACCCGGGAGATTGACGCCAAGGGGGGCGAGGGGCGCGAACTGCAGCGGCGGTGGATTGCCAAGCAGACGGAGCTGGTCACGCTGCAGGTGGGCCCACACGCGCCCGCCCTGGAGCCTGCTTGGCTGCGAAAGTATGTCCAAGCCTGGAGAATGCGATCCGTCAACGCCCCAGGAGCATTTCAGATCATAATGTCATTGATGTCATTGATAACTTCTGACTGCTTTGGACAGACAACCCACAGGACAGCATGAAATTCTGAACAAGTGCAGCCTGACCTGGACCATCCCGGCAACGCGCCTGCCAAAACCGCTCTGGCCCCCAACGCTGCAGGGCGAAAACGCGCGTCTGGAGGAGCTGCTGCTGCGTCGCAAGGCCGAGGTGACGGTGCTGACTCAGCGGCGCGTGCGGCTGGAGCAGCAGTTGGAGCACCACGACAGGGAGGCGCGCGCGCTGCGCACCGCCGGCTACAGGCTGCAGGTGGGTACGCTCGGACTACGTTGCAATCAAAACCCTCAAACACAGCCGTGCTCACGCGCTGACATGATTAAATGCCAGGGTGAACAAGTCATCAGCAATCACCGCGCTCTCATCGCACAGGATGGTGCAACGTAGCTGCACGCACTCAGTCAATGCGCGTGTTGCGACCCGACGCCCTCTGCTGCAGGTTGAGCTGCAGCGCGTTGACGGCTTGATAGCGCAGCACGCGGGGCTCAAGGCGGTGCTGCAGGAGGAGCAGCTGCAGCTGCAGGCGAGTGTGCAGAGAGGGCCATGTGCGGCACCCATCATATCCATTAGGGTGGGGTAGTTGGCCGTCGTGGCAGCCGGGCTGTTGACTAGCATCAGGGAGTCACCGAGGCAGACTTTTTGCTGCACCTCCTAGAGTCATGGTGGACTGCTGCCGTGCATGCCGGGACCCTTCTCCCGCTTCAGCTGTCCTGCTCTCACCTTCCCACGCCCCAGGGTCGCGTGATGCGGGAGCTGCAGGAAATGGAGGAGGAGGCGGCCAGGCTGGGCACTGGCATTGACGAGGGCACTGCAAACAAGCGGCAGCTGGTGGCAGGTGAGTACTGCGAGTGTTGGGTTCAAAAACTGAACGAAGCTGCCGCACCACAATACCAATCCTCTGCTCCCGTTCTGAAAGTTGCGACACATTCTGCGACAAAAGCATGCATGGATGTGTGTCAGCATGCAAGCGTGCAGGCGCGCGCGCGTGCGCACGCGTGCGTGCGTGCGTGCGCACGCATGCGCACACACATACACACACGCACATATTCCTCCCTCCTTCCAAAAACCACAAACATCCACAAACTATTCTTTTGTGCCTACTTCAGATCTGGTGGAGGTGGAGCGTCAGATCATGCTGTGGGAGCGCAAGATCCAGCTGGAGAAGGAGATGCAGGTGGGGGAGGGGGCGAGCTACGTTTGTGGAGGCGGGGCCTGAAAACAACAAATTCACACCAGACGCCACAGCACCCCAGGTCTTGCAGTGTGCTTGTGAGAGTGATCATGAACCAAGCGGTCCCCTCGGCCAGCACAGCTTGCTGAATCCACGCCTCTCAAACGCACGCCTCTCCCACCACCCCGCAGGAGGTGCTCGACCCCAGTGTGGGCGAGGGCGTCGTGCAGGCGGTGCAGAAGGAGGTGCACCGCATGCAGATGCGCCACGCGGAGCTGCTGCGGCTGCAGGAGCGCCTCATGCAGGCGCGCGCAGGGCCGCATCGGGCTGATTGGGCCGTGGCGCTTCTCTGCATGCTTGGCAGGGTCTGCGCAGCCGGCGCTTCAACTGTCTCAATCGGTTGACCCTGACTTGCCGCCTGACTGCCCCGCGCGTGGACTCAACAGGAAGCTGCTTGCCATCCATCCCTGGTGCCTGCTTCGCATCCCTCACCTCTTTCCAGCCCATGCAGAAGCCTTGCCCCCCGCCTTCCCACCAACCTCTCAGGAGCTGGAGCGGGCGCTGTCAAAGCACGAGATAATCGGCGTCAAGAAGGCGGCGCAGAAGTCCACCCGTGGCAAGGGCGCGGGCGCTGCCGAGTCGCAGGTGCGCTCGACACCAAATTCGCATTGAGACAGGGTGGCGCCTGCCATCCCCCACGGAGCAGCCCTCGAAAAGACACACGACCTAAGCTATACTCTACCACAGTATACCTCTGCGATCACGCCGTTGTACTATTCGCTACAGGCCAAGCGGTCAATCGGCGACCTGCAGCGCATGCTGCGGGATGCTGAGCGCGACGCGGCGGCGGCCGAGGAGCGCGTGCGGGCGCTCGAGGAGCAGCACGCTGTGCTCGCTGGGGAGCAGGAGGCCGCCGGCGGCAGCTGTGGGGAGCTGCAGGGGCGGCAGGAGGACCTGCGGCGGCGCGTGGCAGCGGCGGCAGCGGAGAGGTGCGTCTGCGTGCAGCCTGGCAATTCCTAGTCACCCGGACGTCGGGGCATGCGACTGCCCAGCAGTGTTTCCAACAAAAACAATCATAATGCACATTGCTGCGTGCTACCTCACTGGCATGGGACGTATTTCCACGTTTACGAAAAGCTGGCCATGTCTCAGGTTGCGTGCAGGTAGATGACGTTTCAGCTGCAGCATTGTGCAGACGACCAGTCCATACCGCTCCTCACATGTGCCTCCCCAACAATCCTGCTCGCAGGCACCGCGCCCTCCTCATCACCGCTTCGCAGCAGCGGCTGGCCCGGCGCTACGAGGACGCGCGCGCGGGGCGCCTCAAGCCCAGCCCCGCCGCCAGCGGCGGCGGCGCGGACGCCGAGACGCAGCTGGCTACTGACCTGGCAAGAACGGAGGAGCGGCGCGCGCGGCTTGCGGCAGCGCTGGCGGATGCGGCGGCGCAGGCGCCCCATCTGGCAGAGGAGGTTGACCGCGTGCTGGCTCACCAGGCAGCGGCCGAGGCAGCTGTGCAGGCATGCGCCGGGGCCGGCGGCGCCGGGCGGCCGAGCGAGTAACGCGGGGCTGTGCCGGCTGATGCGTGGCTGCACTGCAGTCGCATGGGCTGCGCGAGCGTTGTGGGCGTGCGTCGGGTTTGCGCCTTGTTTGCGCGTGTCGTGGCTGGGCAACGGGATCTTGGCTTGGCAGTGGGGCACAGCAACAAAAACCTGTGCACCGCTACCCCAAAAGCAAGGCACGTTTTGGTGTCAGCTGCCGCCACTCACTCTGTCAATCCAGGGAGCCCAGCTGCTGCCGAGTGTCGGGCAACGGGGCACGTCTCTCGTGGCAGCTGATAAGAGTCCATTTCCAACCGTGACTGCAGCTAGCAGGACGTTACACGTGCCCCGTGCCCTGCTGAGCCAGCTGAGTGGCGGCAACAATCGCCGCATTGTAAGCCGCGTGCCCCAGGAGCGGCGCCAGCAGGTTGCCGCGCGCAGACACACAGGCCGTGCCGAGCGCGGCGCCGAGCAGCAGCTGAGGCAGGAGCTGCTCCGGGGGGTGGGCAGCCGCAAACAGCAACGACGACGCAGCCACCTAGGGACATGCAGCAAGGGAGAGCAAGGGCGGCCATGACGCTGCGGGCTTGTCGCGTGCCACACCAAGGTACGCCACGCTGCTCAATCAAGCATGCAGCTGTGTGGAAATGGGAGCAGCATGGGAGCGCGACACTCACCGCGGTCAAAGGCCGCATCCACTTGGTTAGGGTGGGCAGCACGTACCCCCGGAAGAACAGCTCTTCAGAGGCAGGGGCCAGGGCCACTGCACCGATCGCGGACAGGGCCGCGGCGGCTGCGCCTTGGGTTGGCAGCGCCCGGGGCAGATCCGCTGTGTTGGGTGGGTGGGCGCGAGGACAGGCGTGAAGCATTTCGGCGGAGCGCAGGTGAACGGTGTCCCAGAAGCTTCAGGGAGAAACTTGCACCCAATGCTTGAAGCATTGGGTGCAGAGTTCCTGGAGTGACTCGACTCAGTACAAGCCCCGCCCTCAAGCTTGCAATTCTTCATCTTGCCTGCTGCGCCCATGCCCGCGTCCGAGGGCGCAACCTGCGCCGCAGCGGCAACCACCAGCGCGACGCCGGCCAGGGCCGCCGCAGCCGCCGCCGCGCCAACGAGGGCGCTCCGGCCGTCTGCTCTCAAGGTGAACCAGGGCTCGGGCAGCGGCCGGTGGGGGGCGGTGGCGGCGGCAAGGAGGCCTGCTGTGGCGGCCAGCTGGAGCAGCTGCGCCACCAACAAGAGGGCCTCCTGTGGAACGACACGTTTGCAGGTGGCCAGGGACGTTCAAGAGCGGCGCATGGGTGAGGCCGTGCCTGCTTGGCTGCATCGCGGCGATCGGTGGCGGAGGGTTTACAGAAGCCCCTGCCCAGAGCACAGCATGCTGACAAAACATGGCCTTCAGGTGGCTGGTGTGCCTCCGCAACCCTGAATCTCAGGCCGCACCTTCTCCAAAGGGGGCAGGTCTGCCAGCCCGCCGAGGCCCTGCAGCGCGGCGGCCGTCGAAAGGACTAGTGCAGGAATGGACTGGTTGGCCACCCAGACCAGCCCAGTGGTCTGGACTGCAGACCAGACGTTCCAGGGCACCGGCCAGAGCGGCTGCGGGGCCCCATCCTTGCTGCTGCTGCCGTCGCCGCCGTCGCTCTCGCTGCTGCCTGCGCCTGCTCTGCTGGTGGAGAGGCCCGTATTTGTTTGGGCGGTGGCCGCTGCCGGCTGCTGCGCCGCTGCTGATGATGAAGGGGCCAGGTCAGGTGCGACCCCCGGGGCTCGGGTGCTTGAGGTGCCGTCGACCTGCGGGGTGCTGGCGTCTGGCCCAGCTCCAAGTGCACCCTGCGATCCATGAGCAGCCCGCCGTGTTGATGTTGCAATGGCGCAGTCGTCACATTGCCTGGCTGACGTGGCTGGGGGCGCTGGCATCTTTGGCTCACCCGGCGCAGCACGAGGTGGCGCTGGATGCGGCCTGCAGGCGGCAGTTTTGGGGTGCCCACTGCCGCCGCAGCCATGTGCAAATGGATCAGCGCGATTTTCGGCATCCCTTGATAGAAAGCTTCTATACGGTGCAAAAAACAATCAGATCGAGCTGGCACGTTTGCCGCTCGCATGTGCCAGCGTACTTATCACGTACGAAACACGTACAACTGAACACCACTGAATGTATTTGAAATGGTGGCCGGACCGTCACGGTCATTGCTGCACTCCCTTGCTCTGGTGTGCGCTGTGACTGCTGCTGCCGCTGTGCGCAGCCCAGCGTGCCCGAACGGCTGCGTCATCGCAACCACCAACGCGCCACGGCGCTGCGAGTGCATTGAAGAGCGCTGTTCGCGCACCGCGGCAGCCCCCGTCGCCGCCGCCCTCACCGCGCTGGCGCCCAAGCGGGCGGGCCCAGTGACGCTGCCGTTCGCCACCAGCAACGGCAGCGCCGCCCCAGCTTCTGCACGCGGCCGCAGCGCATCTACGGCACCACTTCCTGCCGTGCCCGGCAGCCGCAGCGTCGTGCCACCGCGCGCACTGCTGCCCGACAACTGCGGCGCCTGCAGCGGCTTCAACGCATACGCATCGATGGAAGCGTGTGCAGCGGGCGCCTCGGCCTTCGCGCCCTCGGGCCGGGGCATACCGCCAGGCAGCTACCCACAGCTTGCTGATACACAGAGGTCCAAGGTGGCAGAGCAGCTGTCGCAGATGATGGCGAGCCTCTCGGCACGCCCGCGGGGTGCCGCCGCCGCCAACGCCAGCGCCGCCGCCGGCCGCGGCAGCGGCGTGCGTCCGGCAGGCGGGTTGCGGCGCCGCCTCCTCGGAGGCTAGGCTCGAGCTTAGCTTAGTGTGAGGGCTGGCGCTGGCTGCGGCGGTTTGACCGAGTTGCTGACTGCATGTGAAAGAGCCCTTGTCGCTCGGGCCAACAGCGAATCCTGTCTTCAACGCCGATTGTACTGGCAATTGGAGTCCTGGAGTTGACGGCGGCAGGACACTGTACATCGCAACCCTCCGACCAGGTGGAAAGTGGTCAAGCACACGTGTGAGCTGCAAGCACGGGCCACATCGCTAGGCCAGGGTTTGGAGGGCAACCCGTTGTCGAGCAAGCACCAGGCTGGACACTGACATCCTTTTACAGTGCCCTTGGTTGGCTGCATCATCTTGGTCAGTCTATGTTGTTTTGTCTTTCCTGCAACTGGCTAGCTGACCCACCTGCCTCAGCTGACGCAAGTTCAACCCCTGACATTTCGTGTGTGCAGGGCATCTTATGGCTAATCAACCTGCTGGAACTCTGTCGCCACTCTATTTTGTAGAGCCCAAACTGTTGAGTGTCAGTGTGTGTATACCAGGCTCTGATGCCGTGCATCGAAGCTGGAAAGACTTCTATTTCACAAGCGGCCGCATGGCTTCTGATGTACAGGAAGTCAAGCTCAGACAAGGTCTCCTGGCGTGTGGGCTGGTGGCCGGTGAGCATCAGCAGTGCAGCACGCACGGTCTACCAAGTTGCGGCAATTGCAGCGGGCGCTTGAGGGTGCCCAGCGATCCACATACCCTTTACAGCTCTGCGGCTCTGATTGCAAACCTTGGGCTGATCGCCTGGCAAACGCCCTTCCGTTTGACTCCCCCGCTTCGAGCGGTCCTCACACTATCCCACCGTGGGGGGGGTGGCACTTTGTGCCCTGGCCTTACCAGCGTGTTGCTGCCTGACGGCGCCTCCTGCTTGGCAAGGGCTGAGGATTGGTAGCTCACGAGTGTGCTATTGCCCCGAGCGGCTGTGTGCAGCACCTCGGTCCAGATGGTTACAATTTACCCTCTCTGCTCGTCAGGCTCAGCACGCCCTGTCGCAAATCAAGTTTGCTTGTCAGAAAGCAGTTTCAAAGGTTGTTACGAACCGTCATGGGTACCAGGGTGTAACCTTTCAACCACAAGTACGCTGTGCCTAGTCCTCCTCGCATTTTGAATCCCTGAACACCCTGGCCGGCCTCAACTTTGCGATTTCAAAGCGCAACCCGGGGTGTGCCCCCTGCAGCTCTTCGCAGCAAGCCCAGCTGACAGGCGGCGGCAGCTGCACTATGTGCTCTGAACAGCGCGGCAGCACCACCTGCTGTTTGGTGAGGCGCACAGAAATGGAACGCAGCGTGGGGCCACGCGTGCAAACGGGGCGGGGCGGGCCCAGCAGGAGCCGCAGCTTGGCGTCGTCCAGCCTCACAAAACCGAATAGATTGAATCCGCCCGGCACAGTTCTGTCCTCGAACATCAACGTCAGCAATTCCAGCCGTGCAAAGGCGCCCAGCGGCGCCAGCGCGTCGGCGGCGGGGTCGCCAGCGCCGGTGGCGATGCCGCCAAAGTGTGAGGGCGCCGTGATGGTCAGCGTGACCAGCGTGGCCGCGGGTGGCGCGGCCGCGGGCACCTGCAGCAGGTCCCCCAGGTGCATGTAGCCAGACATGGCACCGATGTCAAGGTCGAGGGCCTGCAGGCTGCACCAGCGCTGCGCCCAGCGACTCGTGTGGCTGACAAACGTCGGCTCTCCGCCCTTAACTGCGTCGGCGCCGATCTCGCCAGCGCCGGTGATTGTGTCGCGAGGGGGCACCTCGAAATCGTAAGCCGCAGCTGGCATGCTGGGTATCCTACAGGGTAAGCACTGCGGGAAGCTGCGCGGCGCGATGCACGCCACAAGCGCAGTGAGGCCCAAGTTGCCCGCCGCGCGCAGCCAGGCGGCCGAAGCGTCGCAGCCGCTGGCCGACAGGCACATGGTGGTGCAGGTGTTTGCCTTGGTGATCTGGAGCTCCTCAATCGCCGGGTGACCGCCGCCGACGAGGGCCGCGCAGCAGCAAGAGCTGTCAACCTGCAGAATGCGCAGCGCCGGCGCGACATGTGCCAAGCCTCGCATGCGCGCCTGGGCGGCGGCGCCGTGCGCTTGCCGTGGGTGCGGCGGAGCCTCTCGGTCGCCGGCGTCTCGTTCGTCCAGGACAGTCGCGAACTCGAGGCGCGTGAGGTTGGGCAGGGCGGGGCAGGCTGCGTCCAAGAGCTTCAAGACGTCTGCTGCGTCGCTTACGCGCAGCTCCAGCAGGTTTGGGCACGTCACGGCCAGGGTCTCCAAGAAATTTTTGTCGGGCGACGCCCAGGGGTCGTGCCTGCTCGAGGGCGCAGGCAGCAAAAGCAGGCAGCGCTTGAGTGCATGCATATGGCCGGCGTGCGTTGACACCACACGCATGATACGTTGGTACGTTCGCGTGTCTCTGGTCTGCTGCGGCGTCTCGAGCGCACCGGCCCGCTGCTCGGCGTATGCATGTCCCCACCCCCCCAGCCGGCCATGTCAAGGTGGGCTCACTGGCAGTCCATTTCAAGTCGTGTGAGGTGCTGCAACTGCCCTTCCTTGAAGTGTTGCATGCCGGTGAACAGCTCGATGCCAGGAAAGTCGCAGCTTTGGACTGCCAAATCATGCAGCCTGGGCAGCGCCGCTAGATCCAGCTCGCCAGGTGGGCGGTCCCAGCTGAGCTTGGTCAACGCAGGGAGGGCAGCGAGCGCATCGACCACCCGGTCGAGCCCTTAGTCGCTATCGTAGCTGTAGCTTGAGCGGAGGGCCAGGCAGATATCGACGCGCTGCAACTTGGTCATGTGCTGCAGCGCCGCCGCGACGGCGCTATGGCAATCAAGGGCGGACGCCCAGCAGGTCAGGCCCAGCTTGGAAGTGTGGCCGCTGCTTCGAGCGGTGCGCAGGTGGTCGGGGGCCAGGTCTGCCAGGCGCAGGCCGAGCGACAAAAGGCCTGGGCAGAGGCGCGCCAGGTGCTCCAGGAGCCGGGTGTCCTCGTGGCTGTGGCCGATACTCAAGTCGGAGATGCGGGTCACGCCCGGCCAGGCGCCGTCTGGCAGGGCCGCGAACGGGCCCAGGAGTGTCGGCAGCGCCTCGCCGCGGGGTGCGCGGCGCAGCAGCGTCGTCGCTTTGGGAAAGCGCGCCGCCAGGGTAGCCACGGCAGGCAACACCTCCGTTGGCTGCTCCGCGGCTGTGAGCCCCAACGCCACTCGGCGCATCAGCGCGTCGATGTCTTCAGGCGGCGGCACGTCAGGCGCGCGTTGGCGCGCCAGCATGGTGGGTCAAGAGCCAACAACACCATGTCGATGCAAACATCCGGGAGATGTTCTAGACTAGCACAAGTACCGTTAGGAAGCGCACGAGGAGGCATTGGATAATTCAGCGCGGTCAAACTGCGGTGATCTGATTGGAAAGTCGATTGCGCGGTGTGTGTATCCGAAAGAGAAAGAAAATCTGCAGTTGAGGTATAATGTGATCCTGGAAACAGCACGCTACAACATTTGGCACCTGTGCCGTCGAAAACTGGTGCATGCTCCTGCAGTGGTCCAGCTGTGATCAACCTGCGACGCGCGACCTGCTCCGCTGCAGTCGTGTCACCATGCTTGTCAAACGCCACACGTATAGCGAGCCCTGACGTGTGCTGTCCCCTTCTTGAACATAAATCCTGCTGGTGACCCACGCTTCTGTGGCGCCGATTTGCACAACCATCACTACTGCATCACAAAGGCTGTCGAGAACTGGTCTCCAGTTACACCAAGAGGCATATGGCGGCTGCGGGGTGTGGTCAGCAAATTTAAATGCTTGCCCGCAATAGGAATTGCGCTTGCCAATTGAGATGGTGTGTTGCCGTCACATCATGGTTGCGTGGTGTTGCATGAAATTCCGATGCTGCCTAATCACACAGCATCCGGCCCTGGGCCATAAGGCTTCCAACTCAAGAAGCTGAATCACATTGCAATAATAACACCTGCCCACCGCACAGCATGAGCTCCCTCTTACTGCACCCGTCCTGCCCAAATCAGTGGCGCGCCGGCTTCGCAAACGAGCCCGATGGCCGCGGGCTCCCGCCCACCGACGGGACGGGGCTGGCCCGGTCCCCCAGTCTTGACGTGCGCAGCCCTGATGGCCCCCGAGTTGGACTGCTGCACGCGCTGGACGGGCGCGCGTCGCCGCCGCCCTCGCTGGCCCCTGCAACGCCCCCACTGCTGGCCTGCTTGTCGGCCGTGACCCTCTTGACGGGCCCCAGCTCGACCTGCGCCGCCCTGCTGGCAAAGTTGAGGGACGAGAGGGTCTCCTGCGTGGAGATGGCCTCTGGGGACAGGTTGCAGACCAGCATCACCTTGCTGCTGCCGCACAAGCTGTCCTGGAGCACCTGGGAGGGAAAAAGGCGTGGGTGCTGCTTGAAAAGCTCCTGGGTGTGTCGATGCCGCAACCCTGCAGCTGCACGTCAGAAGGCGTGGAAGCAGGTGTGCAAGGCCCTTATTGGGCCCAACATGATGTTCTCGTAAGCTTTGATACCCCACCCACCTGGGTGAGCTTGCTGTTGCGGAAGGGGATCTGTTGGGTTGGGGTTGAAGGTTGCAGCAGGGGTGTGTCAGGCCCGGACGATACGTGATGGGCACGATTTTCACCCGGGGGTCAGCCAGACTCATTTACAACTGCATCTGACAGCCTGGATGCACTCACATCCCAGCACAAATGCTCACATGTGGGGTGCGGCGCTGCAGCGCGCTGATGACGTCCCCCAGGGCTGACAAGCTCTTGTTGATGGCCTGCGCCTCCTTGAGCTGCTCCCCTGTGACCTCTGACCGCTCGATCCGCTCGCTGCCCGCCTACAAATTAAGTTCAAAAATAGTAGATTGGTGATAAAGGCTGGATTCCATTTGCAGATAAACAAGAGCTGTCAGGGAATTTCAAATGTGGCCCGGGGGTATGCAACCCTAGTGGTTGCACCCGAGAGCGATCAATGGCGGTGTGTGTGGGAGTGTCAGCCAGCCTGCACTTGGGCAGGTTGCCCATGACTCAATCAACCAGCATCTTTGTAAGCGGCAGCACGTCCCTGCCCCCCCCCCTTGCGGCCCCACCCACCAAGTCGACGAGGTGCATGAGGGTGGTGACGGGCCGCCCCTCCTGCATGTTGCGGACCTTCACGCTGACCAGCGCGTGGCTGCGGCTGCTGACCGCGTTGAGCGCTGTGGACGCCGTGCGGCGCGCGCGGCTGCCCTCTCGGAGGGCGTCCTGGACCTCATCTGGTGTCGACACCGGCCGCCATAGCAGGGCCTGGACCCTGGGGGGTGGCAATCAGGTATAAGAAGCAACACATTGTGATTAATGGCATCAGGCCTTGAGGAGGGGTGGGTAGTGTGGCAGTTGCCAAACGGTGCCCCTACTGAGCAGGGTCCAGGGGGGGACCCCACCTGTCCATGTTGGGCGGCAGCTCGCCGGCGCCGAGCGCCGACACATCGCGCGTGCAGCGCGCCACCGCGTCCTGCCCGGGAGCGCCGCTGCCGCCAGTCGCGGACGACAGGGCCAGCAGGTCGTGGACCGCCTGGCGGTGTTGTGTGAGCGCGAGGCGTTCAAGGTCTTACAGGCATGCCCCGCAGCAGTGGGGAGGGCCTCCCGGCAGTTCAGCAGCACTATGCTCACTTGGGCGTGCTGTTTCCCACAACCCCACACACCTGCGCTGCTGTGCAAGGTGCATTGCAACCTTGTCCCTGCATTTGGCAGCTGTGCTCATGTGCATCCGCTTGCACGCCGACGTTTGCACGCACCTCGTTGTAAATTTCCAACACTGCCACCGAGAAAGACCACGTGCGGTCAGGTTCCTCGGCGGCAATGCGGAACAGCTCCTGGGAGGTTTGATGTTGCAGGTGCAAGGTGACCCGGGCACCCAAGATTAGCAGGGTGCCTGATAATCAGCGGCAAAAGCACTCCCAAGCGCCAGATCGGCAAGGGGGCACGGCTGACGACCGAGAGTGCAGAGGTGCAGGCTTGTGAGCTGTAACGCTTGCAGCCCGCATAGAGGGGGGAGCCCTGCCAGCGCACCTGCAGCGCGCGCGTGTTGATGCCGGGGTCCTCCGTCGGCCCCTGCATGGTGAAGGTCTTGCCGCTGCCCGTCTGTCCGTAAGCAAAGATGCACACGTTGTAGCCGTCGGCGCAGGACCGCACCAGCGGCAGCACCTCGGCAAACACGCGCCCCTGGTCCGCGTCGGGGCCGAACACAGCGTCAAATTCGAACTCGCGGTGGCGGCACGAGGTGGGGTCCTGGAGCGTCAGGAGGCCCTCCAGGGGGAAGTTGATGACGGAGCGCGCGCAGGGCTGCGGGGGCCGCACGCGGGCCATGACGCGGATGTTGCCGCGCACGACCTGCACGGGGCGTCAGGCGGCGCGACGAGTTGGAGCGGGTGTGAGCTCCAGCCGCAGCAGGACGGAACGCCGGTCAGGTGTGGAAGCAGCTTGCTGATAAGCAGTCCACGATGATTTTACAACGCAGGACGGACTGGAGGGACATCCGCTTGTCAGGCAGCACACCTGCAGCTGCTCGTGCAGCTGCCGCCTGACTGCCCGCTCCTTCAAAAAGTTATCCTTCCACTCCGCTGCCGCAGCGCTCGCTGCCGCCACCGTCGCCTGTGCCTCCATGAGAGCCGCCTGCAGCGAAGCCACCTGCCGCAGGCAAGGCGGGTGTGCCCGCAGATGTTTTGCTCGACTCCGGTGATGTGCACCGATTGCAACCCTTCTAGAAACGGCAGAAATCCAGGCCTGTTGCCGTGCCGCCAAAGCTGCTACCGCGCCTGCCGTGAAACGAGGCGTATCAAAGACTGATTGCAAGGGCCCACGCACCTGTGCAATGACGGCCACCGCCTTATCGCGCTCTTCCACCGCTTTGGCCCTCTCCTGCTGCGCCCGTTGCCGCTCCTGTGGGATGAGAGACGCGGCCCTCAGAAGTGGACACGCGCTCCACTCACTCTCAAAACCCTGCTGTCCTTCCATTTTCATAACAGGACAGCTCAATTTTTGGCTCGAGGCGCACTGCCACCCGTGCCCCAACAGGCTGGCTGGGTGTTCCGCCACAGCCGCCACCCACCTGCACAGCGCGGTCCCGATCAGCTTCGACCTCAGTCGTGTGGCCCCTCAGCGCCGCCAGCTCAGCGCCCCGCGCGTCCAGCTGCTCCTGCAGCAGCTTCCCCTCGCGCTCGCTCTTGTCGCTGTCGCCCGCGCTGCGGTCCTGCCAGATCGCCATTTGGCGCCGCATCGCCTCCAGATCCTGGCGATCAAATAAGGCGAAGCTGTTGCACATCCGTTCCCAGCACAGCCGGGAGCGCAAGCTTCGGTGACAAAGCTGCACTTCCTGGTGGGAGACCACAGGCCCCTCCACACTACGGCAGAACACTTCCGGCGCAAGCTGCTCCCAAACGCACCCTCCGCACCCACCTGCGCCAGCCCGTCCCTCTCTCGCTGAACCCCCTCCAGCTGCGCGTTCATGGTGGACAGGGTGGACTCCAAGTCATACTGCAACAGGGGCAGCGGCGATCATTGGCGACGCCAGGTCAGCGTGGTGAGGCCGCCCACATAGTACCAACCAAGAACAACCACCAACTGAGCTGCGCCTCACGCGCCTGCCTGCATCGTCCCTATTCCAGGGCCCCGCGGGTCATCCCTGCCCGCTGCAGGTGGCGCGTCAACCTTCGGGGCCATAAGCATGTCGCGCCGCACCTTGGCCTTCCACGCCTCTAGGTTCTCCTCTTTGAGCCGCTCGCACTCCGCCACCGCCGCCTCTGCTTCCGCGACCCGCTGCTGCAGCGACCGGCACTCCGCCTCCAGCCTGAACGATTGATTTGAGGGGTGCCACCTTGACTTAAGAGTTCAACAGACTTTCGCAGATACACCCGATCTGTGGCACAACAGCACCGTGCTATCCGCTGGTCTCCCTCAGCCCAGGCACCCGTCAGGTGTGGGTGCCTCGCGCTTGCGCAGTCGCGCCCACCTGCTCCTCGCCACCTCCTTCTCCAGCAGCCGCTCGTTGGCTTCTGCCAGCGCCTCCCCCATTGCTTGGTGCCGTGCCTCGTCGTCACTTTCTCGCGCCGCGTCGTCCTCTGCCGCGGTGACGTACCTTTGTTGGGGAAAGCAGCAGGGTTTAAGGCTTCAAGCCCACAATGACATGCCAGGGCGGTCCTCGTTCAGACCACATGCACGTTCAGTTGTAATACTTATATAAGCTCAAATTGAGCATGATGAAAACACATGCTACAACTCACCACTGCTGCTTTGCTTGATTGATGCTTGCTCTTGTGACACGCAGCATCCCCAACCCTGATCCTGCTCAAGCCGTGCTCAACCCACCTGGAATAATTTTTGATGGCGCCCCAAGTGGATGACGCCGTTGACAACCCCCCGCCGCCAGCCATCATGCCTCCGCCGTAGCCTGCGCCCGGCCCTGTGCCACCGCTGCTGCCGGCGCTCGCGTTTGTCGTGCGCCTGCTCGCAGAGGTGCGCGGCTGCGTGCTGCCTGCCACCGCGTCTGACCCTCCGTTGGTCTGCCATTCGCGTGGCTGCTGCTGCTGCTGCTGCTGCTGCTGCTGCGGTTGCTGTTGATGATTCTGCGACTGACGCGGCAGCGGTGGCAGCCCTGACAGCGTCGCTCCGGGATGGCCCACCAGAGCCGAGGTGTTCGCGACGGTCGACGTCCGCTGGCGCACCCAGCTGCTGACGTTGCTGAACCAGTCGCTGCTGCTGCTGCCCAGCGCAGCTGCCGCGGCCATCGTGGGGCTGTTGGAGGGGCGGTCAGGGTCGCCCAGGGACTGCAGCAGGTCCTTGTTCGGAACCCCCGATGAAAAGGAGGCGGCGGAGCGCGCTGGTGCGGCTGCTGCGCTGGGGCTCGCATGCGCAGCGTCATCATCATCGTCAAAAGCGCTGCTCGGGCGAGACGGCTCTGCAGCGCGACATGCGCGTGGTGGGTTGAAGGGCTGGTACGAAGAGCTCAAGATGTCGTCTGCTGCCGCTGCCCTGCATATTTTACTGGTGGCAGCTGAGCTGGAGCCGGTTGACCAACGCAGCACCTGACGGACACCGCTGGCCGACAGTGCAAAGTTTCACAGCCCCACGCACCTCGTGCGGACTTGATCAATCGTTCCTTGCCATCGCCTTTCTCCTCCAGCTTCAGCTCGAGCAGCGCGATCTTCTCTAGCAGCCTGTCCACCAGCTCCCCCTTGATGCGGGGAGATGCGGTATGAAGGGCTACCAAGGGGTCCTCTGGACCTTGCGCTCGCGGGAAGACGCCCTCACGCTGCATTTCGTTCGTTGACTGGGCGGGCCCTGCAGGAAGCCTGCCCTCATTCAAAACCTGCGTCAACGAAGCATCCACTTTCTAAAACAATCTGGGTTATATGTCAATTGATCAAAGCTCGTTCGCTTGCAAGCGATCTGCAGCAGCTGCATCCAACTTAGGGCTGATGTTCTATCATTTCAACGTCTGAGAACGCATGCAAAATTAGCGCGTTATTCACGCGTCAGGGTGCACCCAAGGACATTGGTCAGCTTTGAAAGCTGTGGAACCACGCGCGCTGCTGCTGCTGCCGTCACTTGGGCTCAGCTGGCGCCTGACACAAAACGCCGATGGCGGCGGTGACGGTGCGGAAATTGAAGCTTCCAATCCCCGTCACAATAGTGACAGGTGGCCTCGGCACGGGCAAGACCACTGTACTCCGCCACCTAGTGGCGAACAAGCCGCCTGAGGGTGGGTCGCCCCGCGCCATCTGATGTGCACTTCGCCGCCGCCCATAGCTTGCACATCTCAAATTAGGACCACGCAGCAAGGCTCGTCAGCAATTATGCATTGTAGGCTTGTGATCCGCCGCGCCTGGCCTACACCGCTCCCTCCGAACACCCAGAGCACTGGGCGATCGTGGTGAACGAGTTTGGCGCTGTAGGGATCGATGGCGCCGCCATCGAGGCCGCGGCCGCCGACAGCGGCGGCGGGAGGACGGTGGTGAGGCAGATCGCCGGCGGCTGCATGTGCTGCGTCACGTTGGGGCTGCTGTCGGCCTGCATCGCCCAGATCATCCGGCAGACCAAGCCTGACAGGTGTGGTGTCAGCTATGGCATCACCAGGCTAACATCCCAAATGTGTGCGCGTGTCCGTGTGAATGTATGAGAGAGGGAGAGAAAGTGTGTGTGTGTGTGTGTGCATGTGTGTGTGTGTGTGTGTGTGTGTGCGCGTGTGTGTGTGTGCGTGTGCGCGCGCGTGAATATGTGTTTGGATTTGTCGCGCAGCGGGCAAGCTGACCTCGTTTGGCGTGCCGAAACAGCGGCCATGCCCCTACATCATTGCTGTTTTGCTCTTCTGTATCAGCTGGCGCGCGATTCCAGCATGATCCAATCCGCTTTCGCGCATACCGCCGTGCACGCGCCGCTCAACCGCCCAGGCTGCTCCTGGAGCCGAGCGGGCTGGGCCACCCAGGGGGCCTGGTGGACGTGCTGCGGGGGGAGCACCTGCGCAGCGCGCTGCACCTCAACGCCATCATCTGCCTGGTGCGCCGCGGGGCGCGGGCACGGTCTCGTGCGCTGCGCACGCTGGCGCCGGCGGCCGCCGTTTCAAATGGCGCGGCTGGCAGCACAGCTCGTCTACAAGAAGCAGAGTCTGGCCATCGACCTCTTCCCAGTGTTGTGCAATACCCACCTTGCATGTGTTCAACTTCAATCAGGTGGACCTATCTTGCTTTGACCCGCCGGCTCTGGAGGGCGTAGGCGTGATCTCAGATCAGATCGCGATCGCAGACATTCTCGTTGGCAGCAAAGCTGATCTGCTGCCAGGGAAGGGGGTCGCCGGCGGCGGGGACCACGGATGTCGGGCGGAAGCGGATCAGGCAGCTGCAGGTGACGGCGCAGACGCCCTTTTGGAGGGGCCAGGTGCAGCGTCGCCCTTGCTGGAACGGGAGCTGGCGCCGGCAGCCAACGCGTCAGCCGCAGGACATGATAAGAAGGAGCCGGGCGGAGACGAATGCGGGCGCGCCAGCGTCGCGCGCGGCGGTGTGCCAGGCACGGTCGCAGCCTTCAAGGAGTGGGCCGGCAGCATGTACCCCCCAAAGTGTGAGGTGCTGGTGATTGACGGCGGAAGGCTGGACCCTGCTGTGCTGGACCGTCCCCGCAGCAGCGCGTTTGCAACACTAACCGCCGCCTGGCGGCAGCCGGGCGGCCGCGCGCGGCGGAGGGGTGGCGGCGGCGGTGGCGGCGCCACGAACGCGGCAGCGGCCGGAGCGCCGGCGCCTGCGGCGGCGGAGGATCAGCTGCAGGAGCAGCCTGAGCCACCCGCGCCACGCGCGCCCACACGAGTGCTGCGGCCCGGGGACGTGTCATCAGATGGGCATGCAGCGTGCGGCTGGGTGTTTCACGAGTCCGACGTCTTTGACCGCCCCCGCCTGCTGGGCCTGCTGCGCGCGCTGCGGCCGCCGCGCGTGGCGCGCGCGAAAGGCGTGTTTCGCGTTGGCCCCACTGAGTGGGTGCTGCCCTCAGTGGTGCTTGGTGGGAACGGGTTTCACGACGTTGCTCTGACAAAAGCGTGCTACCGGGGACAAAGCTGTGCTGAGGTGATACTGACAGCGGCGGCCAACCGTGTGGCTAACGGGGCAGGCGAAGCGGGAAGCGCAGCAGACACTGTAGCAGCAAATTGCGAAGCCGCTTCAGGCAAGGACATGGAGCGGCGCGTCGCGGCGGCAGTTTTGGCAGCAATACAGGGGGACTTTGGGCCCTTGGACTTGGTTTTTCTGGACGCTTTGGTGGCGACTTGATGTTACTCGCCTCTACCGGTGCTGTGTGATCACAAAGCACCCACACATAATAATGTGTCCAAGATGACTTGAGGCGATTCGCTCTCGCTTTGCAAGCAGCCAGCTTGCCAGTGCATCCAGCAGAGGAATAAATTCGTAGGCGCCAGCATATAGATGCATAAGAATATGGCGCAACTACACACCTGCCAGTATCTCACAATCCTCCCCCCCCCCCCCAAACGGCTAGAGTAGCTACATGCTGCAAGTCGATTGAGCCCCTTGGCACTCAGTTTATGATGCGTGCAAGTGTGCGTAAAAACGTACGACCTAGACGAAATGATATCGGCATCCGCATAACGAGGCACTATTCCTCCATCCTGCAAACCAACTCGGCGGCGCATCAGGAACATCAAAATGACTGCGTGAGCTCACACAAACCAGCGCGTCAGCCGGTGTTGCGCGAATGGCTGACGGTGAACCAAGAGGGCAGCAGCGCGCTGGACAGGCGGTCGATGAGGAACGCGGCTGCCTTGGCCCAAGGGCTGCTGGCGTTGAAGAGCTGCAGGGCAACAGGGGGCAAGGGCAGCACACCATTAAGTCAGGCGTTGTTGCATCCGTACACAAAGCGCTCAGAAGAGCCCTGGCGGCATTCCTGGGCACACACGACATATTGCTAGGGCGGCAACTTTGTCCCTGCGGCCAACGACTTACCCGCTGCTGCCAGCTGGCTTCCCACGGCCGGCCCTCTGGGTATGGGAAAGCGGCGCCTGCAATAACAATGCAACGTTGGAGATGTGCGGCTTGGATACGCAAACGTTTCCAACCCCGCCCGCTCCTTCAACCTCACACGTAGCAGGTGCCACGAGCCTCCTCCTGGTGTGCAACAGCCTGCCTGTTTGGGCGTTGCTGCCATGGGCTTGACCGGGGTCTCACCTACGGCCCACAGCAGGCCGAACGCACCCCCCAGGCCGCCGCTATTCCCAACCCGGCGATCCATGACGTAGCCCATGGTGAATGACGTCACCTTCCCCTGGAAACAGACGCCAAATCATGGGGGGGGGGGGGGTGCAGCAAAGCCAAGGCGGCCGCGACATACTTGAGATGTTCAGGCCTGCACAACAACCCTAAAACTGGCCAGGCATCAACATGGCAATCAAGATCCGGCTGTTGATCCCTGAAACCAAACCGTCAGACACGGCAAGGGGTTTGGAGTGCGCTGATGCAGGCGGCAACCCTGCACACAAGCATGGTGATTGGGAAAGGGAATTATGCGTGACCCCAGGCACCTGCTCATCAAACGTGAGGCTGCTGGTCTGCGGAGGCAGCTCCACCAGCTTGCCGGTGGGCGGGAGCGGGGCCGGCGCTCGCGCGCGCAGGTAGCCCTGCAGCGAAGGTTGCAGGAGAGAGGGGGGTGGAGAGGGCGGTCACCAAGGTTGCATAACACCAAGTCAATGGGCTTGGCAATTCAGTGGAGGTCTGTCAACCGGCATGGGCAGAGGTGGCGGAGGCTGGCGGCGGGGCCCACTGATCCCGCCCGCAAGCAATCGTCCGTCACGTTACTCCTGAAAGCGCACCAGATGGCGGCCGACTGGGCGGTTGGTCAGCCAAACGCGGTGGGGCTCCAGGGGGTCCACTCTGAGGCCATGAAGCAGGCAGGTGTGATGCACACAGGGGCCGAGCAATAAGCACTTCAAATGCTTCCGGCGCTGGGGCTCGCATGACAAGCAAGTGGTGTGTGCTAGCTGCTGGCGCCCACGATTGCAAGCATACACATCATCGGAAGCGTTTGTCACAAGGCTGTTTGCCAGTCAGCATGGCGGCTGCTAGGCATGGGGCAGCATTGCTGCACCCCACCTGACGTGGTAGATGCGAGCCTGCATGTCAGGGAAAGCTGACTCCAGGTCCAGGTACTCCATAGTGGACGCAAAACCCTTGCAATTAAATTGATGATGGTGAGGGTTTAACAGCGTTGATGTGGGCGAATGTGGGGCGCCGGGGCGAGGCAGCAGGCGATCAAGGCTACTGCACAACAAACGTTGCGGTACGGGATGTACTGTTGCGCAGTGTGCCACACCCTGTGCATGATGCTGTGCGGTGTGTTGCTGCATAGTGTACTGCTGTGCAGTGCGGTGCTGCCGAGTATGCTGCTGCTCACAGACCTGCTTGTCCAGGGGCCCGATGAAGGGCGCAGAGAAGGCAAAGTCCTCGGCCAGCTGGTCCTGGCACCTGCAACCGCCCGATAGCGGGGCCGCTGCGTGTAATCGTGCTTGGAGGATTGCAGGCAGCAGGCGCTGCGCCAGAAAGGGGCGGAGGCCACGCTCGCAAGCCGCCAGGGACACCAATTTTGCACAGGATTACGTGCCAGGTGAATTCGCTGGTTGCAAATCCAGGTGGCCGGGGGAACGGGGCAGGGTGTACCCAGCAAATCCCCGCCCTCCTCTGCCTTTGCTTGCCACCTTCGAATGGCGCTGAGACGGCGCCCGCGCCTCTCACTTGTGCACCCCCTTGGCCAGGATCCCCTTGGCCACCTCCACCAGCTCAGCCGGGCGAATCGGGAACGTCGACGCGGCCAGCAGCGCCTGGGATGTTGCAGGTTCCGTGGGAGGTTGCGCAGCTTTGCAGGACGTGCAGTGTCAAAAGTTGTGCAGTTTTTCTGGTTGTGCAGTTATGCAGGTTGTGCAGCAGGTGAAGGAAGGGTGGCAGGTTGTGCAGCAGGTGAAGGAAGGGTGGCAGGGAACGTAGATCCGCAGGTAGTCCAAACCAATGGTACAGGGTGGCGGGGAACAACATAGGTGAGCGCGGCAGCAATGTGCAGCGGTGATGCACAGTCCGCACACCATAAAAAAGCTGGGGTCATGGGGCCGGCCCCGCCTCACTGACCCCAACCATCCACACACAGACACTCACACCAATTCCTCCAAACCCCAACAGCTGCGGCCCCTTTACCTCTTCATCCAGAAACAGCCCCATGTCCAGGGTCGGGGCCGCCCTCTCTACTGCCTTGTCGCCAGTTGTGCGGGCGGCCGGCACCGCGTCGCGCGTCAGGGCTGTGCGCCCCTTGTCGGCGGGAAGGGGTGTTGTTGGCAGCGGCGTGTCGGGCGCGAGGGCGGTGTGCTGGTCGCCCTCGCGCGCCGTCCCGGTTGTCTGTGCGCTCTCGTCGCCATCCAGAGTGAGGTCTGAAGGCGCCGCGGCGACGGCGTGCACCGTCGGGTGCTGCCCGGCTGAGGGGTGCGACGCGCCAGCGCGCGGTGCTGGGGCGTTCTGGTCATGCGCACCACGGGCGGCGTCCGCCAGCCCGTCGCCGCCCGCCGGCTTGAAAGGGGCCCTGACGTGGCTTGCGGGCTCTGTGTGCTTGTGCTTGTGCTTGCCCTTGTGCAGATGAAACATGGCTCGGAAGGGCGCTGATGTGCAGTGGCCGAGAAGGGTGACGTCACTGCCTTCGTGATCCCTGTGCGCTGCAGCTGCAACGGTTGGTATGGACGGGTGGTGATAGTGACTATGTCATTTAAATGTCAATCGCATGTGCCGCTGCGCGGATGTGTCACCGTATGATGCTCGCGGGCATGCGTTGGTGCCGCAGTGCTGCGAGTCGAGAATCACAGTGCCGCCCGTCAACAAGGCTTTGGTCGCATAATCACCAGAGCGCATTGGCGTCATCTAGCACCGCTGATGCGCCAAGTCGGCAGAGGCACAACTGGGCTACTACCAGATCCTATGACGTGGCATGCTATCACCGGCTGATGAAGAAATGCGTTGGCTTACAACGGTAGATTTTGGCACGGTGGGGCGCATGGATACTTTGGGGTGCAGCTAGGAGTGCAGCGAATTGCATGGGCTTGCAAGCTTGCAGTCATTTTACACGCCAACTCCTACTGTGTGAGTTACCTGACACCCACCCTGCCAAATCCAGCATGTTCCCAAGGACCAGGTGGCCCTGTTTAGCTGTGATGCGCGTAATCCTGCTGCTGCAGCTGCAGTGCATGTCCGATCCTTCCCGACAGGGGCGGATGAGAGCTCTTCTCACACATAGCCTGAGCCAGCAGCCAGTTTGGGTGGCGCGTGCCACACCTACCCAACAAGGCGATGTGTGCGCGTATCGCTGTGTCAAGACGACCATGGCAAGCAGGGCTGCTAAATATTGAAGGTTGATGGTCCATGGAAGCCGTTTGGATGACTTGCGTGCTCAAGTGCCGAACTTTTTTGCCTAGATTTTGCCAACTGACGTCACTACACATCAGCGGTAACCGGCCATGCAGTCACCACAGTGACTGCGGTGTGCAATGACAAGCATAAAACTCTTCGGCTCGGGCAGGATGGTGTTCTTTTCAGCCCTTGACCATGCGAGTGCTGAGGAGCAGAGCTACTCTCTGTACACGTTCGCTTGAGAGGGTGCTTTGGCTGCGAGCCGTGCCGGTGCTGACCGTTGCGCGCTGCTGTTGATGCAGGCGTTTCCGCACAGGGGACCGTGGCAGCAGCTTAGTCTACTTGCAAGTGCACCGTGCAAGTGGTGGTCCCGCTGGCCTGGCGAAAGCGCCGGAGCGGGATGCATCCGGACTGCTCATATTTGCCACTCTCAGGTTCAGTGCGTGTGGTAGCTGGCGAGTTTCACTCACGCAACTACAATGCCATGTCATCACGCACCTGTATTGATGAACCTGCTCCCAATCAGCCCTTACACCACAAGCTGCACGCACAAGCCATTACAAGCGCCGCATCTTGCCGCCGCAGCTGCTGAGAAGGCAGAGAGGCAGCGGGACATGACGATAGCAGACGACCAGGTATCTTAAGCATCAAACGTCTCTTGATATGTGACACGATGCCAAGCTCTGTTTGCTGCACAGCTAGCGCGCACCCGACGGTGTCCTCGGGGTGCAAGCGCCACCAGCGATAAGTGCGCACGGCAGGGGTCGGAGAACTTGATCAACCGCCTGAGCAGCAGCATGCTGGTGGTGTTGACAGCGCATATCCTTATACTTTCGTCAGCAGCCGGCTTGACTGCAGGTGCGGCCCTTGGATTCACGCGGAATGATCGGGTTTTCCCCCGGCCACCTCGTTACGGAGTTTGCCTGGTAATATGCAGGCGTTGATGCCACTGGCACAGTTGGAGCTGGTGAAGGGCTGCAGAATGTCGCGGCAACGCCGCGCTATGGGCGGTGCGTCAGCCTGAGCACGCATGGGCTTTCACTGCAATCGCGCTGAGCTATGCGCCTGCACGCTCCGCGGCCCGGCGCGAATCAGGGACTGATTGGGTGTATGTGCCTGTACCGCCACAAGAAGATGCAAGGGGCCCCGCGCACTCCTGATGCGTGCACCCCATGCCACGCTCTTGCCCATCTGATGCCCGTCGGCGGCCCAGGCGCCTGGCCTACACTAGCGGGTTCCCCTACCCCGTCAAGGCATTAGGAGGGGCGTGCCAGGCAGGCTTCAAGGTGGCGCTCAACTACCACAGCCGCCCGGCCTCCAATCAGATATGCTTCTCCCTGACAAACACAGCCGCGGGCCCCAACGACATGGCCCCTGCCGGATTCAACAGGTGCTAGCCGGCGCCCATCCAGCGGGTGACAGCACACAGCGAGGCGTTGGGCTCGGGTGACGGTCACCAGCAGCCATGCTGCCTACGTAAGGGTGACTCGGGTGACCAAGGGGGCAGTGCAAGCTGTGGATCAGCAGCAGCAGCAGCGTGCACCAGCAGCACCGCAAGCTGCTCCGGCGGTGTGGTGCTGGTGCCCATTCAAGTTGAGCCCCGCTCGTGCTGGGGCCAGCAGCAGGCGCCCACACCAAAATCCAATCCCCTGCCTTGCGCTTATTTCGTGTGGCCTTACCACATCACCGCGTACTTGCTGTCGACTGACGTGCCGCCTGACCCGCAGCTTGGGGCTGCTGATGTCAGCGACGCTCACCTGCCTCGGCTTCGAAGTCAACAAGGGCTGCACGGCCGCCGTCACGGCCGCCACGGTGGGGGGCGCCTCGAGATCGCTGTCCTTCAACACCGCAGGCGCCAGCGGCGTCCTCAACATCACCGGCCTCGCCGTCGACTTCTACTCGATCGCCGGCACTCAGGTCTGCCGTGCTGCTGGGGATCTGGAGCCGCGGCCAACCAGCCCAGGCAGCGGCACGACCCCATTGTTCTCGTTGAGGAGCTCTTGGCCCTGCCGGCGTCACCCGCTGCCGTGACCCAGCCTGCATATGACACGAGCGCGTTGCAGCGCAAAGGTGCAAAGTGCACCTGTCTGCCGCGCTCAACTTCCCGCGCGTGCATCTTCAGCGGCAGCCGTCCTGCAGTTGTTGAATCATCCCCGTACGGCGTGCCTCCTGCGTAATCCGTCCTGCCCTGCAGGTGTGCCTGACCCTTCAGAGCCCCTGCGCGACGATCGAGCAGCTGTGCTCCTATGGGGGCGGCACGACCTGCGGCACATGGGTCATGGTGTTTTTGAAAGGTGCGCCCCCTGGGGTCGGGCCGGCTGGTTCAGTCCACTTCCTGCGCCTCTGCTCTGAGCGGAGTCTGCGCCCGCAACAGGCCCTCCGGCCGTACACGTCGCCTGGCGGCACCAGCATCAGCCACTAGCAGGCTGTGAAGCAAGCATGGCGCCGCCAGCTTTTCGGGCCGCAGCTCATGAGCTGTAGGCACGCGTCGGCTGCCGCGCACCTGGATGCGCCGGGCTTGGCCGGCCGCGCTTTCTCTCTGTGCCTTACCCCACTCCAACCCTGCTGTATTTTTCAAGCCGATGGACCCATCCACACGCTCACAAAGTGGTGTGAAATTTCCATATACCGGCCCACATTGGACCTTGGCATCACCAAAAAAATTCTCCCGTCCACCCACCACCCCACCAGTCCTGCTCATCCTGAACGAGGGCACCGCCTGCGGCGTGGCAGACACACCCTACAGCCCCACGCCCTCGCCGCCGCCCCCACCCCCCAGGTGGGCCGGCCGCGCGTGCTTTGGGGCGGGGCGGGGTGTGCAGGCTGGTTTGACGTGGCGCGAGAAGGGCCGCTGCCGGGTAGACACAGCAAGACTGCCTGATAATCTTGGGAGGCTGCATTTTTAGCGCTTGTTGATGCATGATTGGCACAACTGTTTGAAGCCTGGGCAGGGCCCCTCGCCTGCCACGAGCAAGCTCTGGCGAGTGTCAAGCAGTCCCCAACCCCAACTAATCCCTCCTGGTTGCGCTGCTTTCACCCCCCCCCTGCAG